AAAAATTACTAAAATGTCATAAAAAATGCAGCTTGTATAGATTTTACTGTTTATTGGTACTAAGAACAAAATTATGTTTTTCATGCCCACTTCAATAAAATAGATGTCACTCAGACTTGGGTCCTCCATTTTATCATTACATATGTATACTAATGTGTTTAATGGGACCCTAGGGCAATTAAGCTATACTGACTCATTGTTACCACTGAGTGAAGTCAACATTTATAAGGCTTTTTCCCATTGGTTGAATAAAACTTGTTTCTGTTATGTGAGGACTGTTTAGCCAATCAGACAAAATGTTGTATTTTGTTGCGCAGTAATTCCTTGATTGTTTCCTCAGTAGTATAAATTGTTTCTTAATGGCCTCATCATTTTGCTCAGTGCTAGGTCAAAGTTCATTTCTCTAATCAATTCAACTGGTCCAGTATTACATGTCAAGTGTGCTATTGAGTGTTTTCAAGAGTGTGTACTTGAAAGCTGTACAGAGATGATGATTGGTAATCTTCTCTAGTGGTATTCTTGCTTATTTCATGAACTATTTGAAAATATAAAATGACGAATTAATAATGAATGAATGAATGAATGAATACAAAGATGAATGAAAAATCACAAAACGAGTGAAAGACCCGCTTCATTTCCATGATTTGATGGGCAGTAGTCGGTGTGTCATGTTCAATGTGAATCTCATAGTGATGTATACAACGTGTGTTAACTACATTGTTTACCATGTACTGTGCAGCAATGAATATTGCCCTTTATTAAGCAAATACATGTAGATTATTTTCAAATCAAAATGTAATCAAGAGTGCACATAACGCAGACAGTCCTGAATTATTTTGTCCTTGTGGTGAAAGAGATTTAAAAGGGAACTCAGATAGCAAACTGGATTTAAAATATTCATTATCGGAACTACAATATTGATATATCTGCTTACCTGGGTTAATATTTTTCTTTCCGTTGAATTGAAAAAACTGAACAATACAAAGAATGCCCTAATGTAAGACTGCTTCCTCTCGACAGAGTTATTAATCTGGCAGCTGTCTCTATTGAAAGAAAATAGTTTAAACATATATGGACTTACATGTATATATTAAATTTTTATATAGTGTCTGATACAACCACTTGAGCACTGGTGATTGGATTCTATAATTAGAAGCGATTGGAATATTTATTTCACAATGCATTGCGAATATTTGTACTATATTTGTTAAAGTATTAGCGCATATGATTAGGTAAATGATCCAGGTCACAATAAATGCAATTTTTGGAGTTGCATTTTTAATAGAGCAAATACTGTAGTTTGGTTATTTTTGGTAACACGCACTTTCTCTATTCAGATCTCCTATTGTCTCATACATATGTACAATTGTGTCTCTGTTGCTCCAGTCTCATGGAATTTCACGTCCAAGGTTTAAATTATATTAAACTTTATAATATTTTAGTGCATAGATTTTCAAGTTTGTTGTAGGAGACAGATTTGCACGTACATGTATGCGAACCTCCTAAATTTGAATTTTTAACGTAACTAGATAACATGTCTATTCCCTGACATAGCAATGACACAACAGTATAGTAATTTAAAAAAAAAAAAAAAACTTCAGAAACGTTCTACGACCACATGCCTTCTTTATTTTGTCTTGATTACCTTTTTTCCCCATCAATCATCAAACAAGCCCAACTTGATTTTGGGGGATTCCTTTTTTGTTTCAAATCTACTAAAACCTTCAGTTCAGTCAGAGGTCACACTAAATGGTGTATTAAACGAATATATATTATCCTGCCATACATACCTAACATTTTTTTACATCATATCATATCATATAAGTATATCTGTCATATTGTATTGTATTGTTGATACCCTATCGATATACTAGTACGTTATTGCGCTTCTAATGTGATATCGGTGATTCTAATCAGGATTTGGGAGCGGGTTTAGGGATATTACGAACAGGACTATGGGATGATATATGAAAGGTTTTATCTGTAGCACCAGTACGTTTGATGCAATGATTGATATGTCAGCTATTTCAACTAAGAGTGAAATAATATTGTGTCTTGTACAACATGCGTCTGGAACTTGAAGGTCACCAAGGTCAGACAAGTTATATGTATGTGTACAGATGTACCATTCATGGTTCTATGCGGCCGTCTTGTATCGCCTGTTTTTTGTGTGAGACAAGTAAGGAATGAGGTACGAAACCCACGTTTGTAATGCTTCTGTTGATAAATTTGAAAACTACTGCAGAAATTATTTTACGGTAATCTGAATTGCTGGAATATTCTCTAATAACAAAATTTTGATGTGAATTTGCCATCATAATTGAAATACTAAAATATTTTTATTGTTGTCATGGCAACAATTGTGGGTTGTTTTAGACATGAAAAGTAAAATTGCTGATAATATGTCCAAAATGTTGCTTTCAAATTGGCCAACATAACATGATTGCTGTAAGGCCATGTTTATAATTATTGTGAATGTTTTGTCTCGCTTTTGTTGATTTCATTATTAATGAAGTATTTTTCTTGATTCGTTAAATTCACGAAAATTTGTCTTGCAAAACTAACTTTGAATATTTGTAAAACGTATATTAAACATTTGAAATATACATGCACAGTATGTTTTTTTAAAAAAAAAGAAAAAAAAGCATATTTAATGGTAATTTTGAAGTATTGATGAATACAAATTTTGACTGCTTTGTTTAATTATAGTGTAATTGTATAATAGTAGAAATAGTGTAAATACCATCCAGACTAATTTTAGACTTTTATTTGCACTTCAGAAAGATTTTTATCTTTTATCCTTTTTACCACGAATTAACAAAGTAGTCCCATTATGATCTGTACTTTTTTTCAGAAGATTGGGACAAAAAAAGCAGCTAAATTTTTGAGTAAAAACTGAAAATTGACTTAAATTTTGTCTGTTGTGGTTGATTTCAAGAAATATTGAGAAAAAATATAAGAAAAAAGTGCCAGAAATTTTGATGAGAAGTCTGGTGGTAAAAAGGGCTGAGAAAATATTTTCATTTTACTTTTATATATACACGTATTACGGACACAATATGTGATCGCAATGAATATTAATATCAAGTATATTTCTGCTTAAATAATGACTTGTATAAATATCAAATGTTGTACTACTAAATTACTCCGTCAAGGATTGAAATCTTGTAATATTGAAAAATGTTGTTTTTGGTCAAATCTAAATTAAAAATTAATGAAAAATTTCAGGAAATGGGAAAAATCTGCACCACATTGTAATGAGCCATTAGTGCCTTAGGGTTTTGGTGCCAAGTATTTGTCATAATTATAAATTTATCGATTCACTATTGGGAAAAATTATGAGTGAAAAAGTGTCAGTTTCTCACTCTTCATTGAGAATTGTTGTTATTCTTGCCTCTTCTTTGGCGAGAATACAAATTCTTGCGACTTGATTGGTTAGAATGCCAGGAACTGCGACTGTGCGATTGTTTGTTTCCAGGGACGTGATTTGCCATGTGATAGATTGTTACCTCGTTTGTTGTAAAGAAAGGAGAGTGTTTGAATGTGTGACATACCCCCAAGTACATTTTCCAAATAACACATCTATACAGGATTTTACTGATGGCTAGACTCTATTGTTTTCACAACAGTATAGTCTAGTCCAAAGTGTCCTTAAAAAATAATGTAGTAAGGTGATTTTTTTCCTATGAAACATCACAAAAATAAATCTGCTTTTGTGTGAACAAGATATTTCGTCACTATCGGCAGGCTAATTTTTTTCTTGTTTTTTTCCTTTGTTCAGAGTGTACCAATGAGAAACAGATTTAATCCCCCCCCCCCCTAATATGGTAAACCGTATTTGCTTTGTCAAAAGTCTGTGTATTTATAAAGTACACGTAACCCCAAAATTGTATTTATTGTACACATATTCCTTATCTTATCTTATTTTGACCATGGATATACTGGTACATATAGCTCCGTCATTATGTGCATGTTCTACTAATAGAGTAAACTTAGGAGTCTCTGTAATCAAGTAAAATCAATGCAAATTGCTGCCATTATATTCTGTGGTTTGTTGACGTTTGCACTGACCAAAATTCACCACATTAATTAATTGCATCTCCTATGTTCAAGAAACCCTAGAAAATAGTCATAAGTTTCATGATTTTCCCAGAATTTGTCTCCTGGAAATTAAATGGCTCTTACAAAATTAAATTAGTGTGCTGTACATTGAATATTTTTTTTTGTTGAGTCAGATTTGATTTTGGTTAAGTTATGTGTTCATGAAGGAACCGATTAAAAGCTTTAACAACTGTAATGTTACGACAGGATAAATGCATGTCTAAGTGAAAGTACCGCTGTAAATGGCAGCCATATTACTGCAAGTGATGATTCACTGTGAAATGGGATTCAGGCCATTTCTGTCTCTTTTATGTATTATTTTCTAAAGCAAAGGAGGTGAAAAAAAAGTAATAAATTCCTAATAATTGATTGATGGCCAATTGAAATTTGGATTGGCATTGAGAGATTGCGCAGGAACTGGAACAGTTAAATGTCGATGGGATGAGAGGTTACTAATGTTAAACAAATTTCTTTTAATGTGTTTAAAATCTATATGATGATGATGATGTACCAAAAAAACATTTCCAGTATTTCTTTCCAATAAAAAAAGTAGTTGGAACAATCTTTTTAATTTCAACTCATGGAAATGATACTGCAGGTTTCTGGCAATCAAAATGCATCCAGAGTTGGCAGCAATGTCGTGCATGCCAATCAATGTAAGGAGTCTCAACAATACTATTACATATAGTTTTTCCAAGATCTGACTTGAAATTGACCAATTGGAACTAAGATCTGACAGCCAATTAAAACTGAGATTGCTGACAATCAAAATAAAAAATTGGCAGGACAGCCAATCGCAACAAAGACTGAACTGGACAGGAAAAAAATGCTAAATGTTTTGTATATCATTTTATTTTTAACATCTGACAATGTTTTTCTTTTTTTCTTTTTATTTGCAGATTTTATCGATGCCATTTATTTTATTGAAACTAGAAGATGACTGAGAAGTCTACCTTGCGAGTACATCAACCCAATGGTGGGTTTAACTCTGTAAAATGTGGAGATACTACAGAGTTCAAGGTAAAGGTCATATTTTGCTCTTACGGACGACGACTACAACAAGAACGTTAACATAGACATGAAGAAAGTACAACCAGGATTTATCTGAAACTCTGGTGGAAATAATACTGTAAAATACTTTATTTTAGCTAGAATAAATTTTCGCTGAAAAGACTTTTCGGGTGTTTTGTATGGAATTTTTTGAAAGTAAAATATAGAAAAAAAGATTTATTCACTGGATTTTTTTTCACTGAATCATCCCTTAGTGAAAATAGTGAAAATTAATTCCAAGTGAAAATAAAGTATTTTACAGCATTAGACAAGTTTTGTGTTCTGCTGTTACATTAGAAACTTGTACATGTAAAAAAAACATGGTGTAAAAAAATCCATTTTGTCTGCGTAGGTGGGGGATGGGTGATTTGTTATACATTCAATAGTTCATCAGAACACAGGGATAATTGCGTGTACATTTTACTTGTAATCAACCCCCTATTCTCACATGGAAACTGACAGGTGGCAATATAACTCAAAACTCATGTTGATTGAAAGTGAGAGTCAGCTTAATCCTGCAAAATGTAAGAAAGATTTGTTCAAACTTGGAGTCGGGTGTGCTGCAATGCATGCTGGGTCGGATGTTTACCACTTTATGTGAGAATTGAACAATGCCTTCAAATCTCCTCAATAATTATATAAAAAAAAACACAAAGATTATTACCGTAATATTTTTCATTTCAGACTATAATCCATGCTGTCGTTACCAGATTAGCAGCTGGTGAAAGGCCGTTAGAATGTTGCTACGCTATCCGATTAGCCGACTCCAAATCCAGTGACTGTTATTGGATTCATCATGACCTCACTGTGGGATTCGTTCGTAAGAAGTATGAGAGTCTACATCATGATGGTGACTGGAAGTAAGATATGTATTGTAATTTAGTGTGCAATTGACATGGCATTAGACCATGTATGTTATTGACACGGCATCACAGAGTGCATATGCTGATAAGCGTATCTTGTGATTTAATAAAGTGAAGAGCAGCAAATGAAAGACTTCGCTGTAGTCACCTGACATTCAGTTGACGTGGTTGACACATTCAGAAAATCAGCCAACTCGAAAAAACATTTTTTTGCCTGACTATGCATATTATACATGTATGAATAAGAGGTTGTTAAATTCTGTCATATTCAGTTTCTCGTAAACATTTTAATTCTTTAGATAGAATCAGTTCATAAAGCAAGTATTTTTATTCAATTTTACCCGATTTTTTTTTTATCAGGTATGAATTGCGGATACGCTATCTACCGAAAAGTTATCCAGATATGTATGAAAAAGATAAAGTCACGTTTTTTTATTTCTATGACCAGGTAATATGATTGTTTTAGAGTCGCATGGTGTGTATGAAAACAATGTAATTGACATGTTTTGTACATGTATATATCATTTGTGACCTTTCAGCATAACAACAGCTTTCTTTATGTTATCATTGAAACCATAATAAGCCATAGGTGTTGATATTCCATTATTAATTTAGTACGCAGTCACTGATTGGTTGACCACCGTCTGCGTGGAAAATGCTGTAATGTTCCATTTCCCTTTTTAAAAGTTAAACGGTAGTTCTGTTCTAGTTTAGTTCATGCTCAACTGTGGGTCAGGTACCGGTAGTTCATCTGTTTACTATGCAACGTTCATGTTTTATAGCATTCTACAAGTTTATGTAATTATCAGAAGTTTACACTTTCGTTTGAAGTGTTTCGATCACCAATAAATGAAGTTTATGTTAACAAGTGATTCGTGAGAGTTCAAGTTCAAGTTGTTCCGTTGCAATCGTAACTCAAGTTGAAATGCAATCCACATACATTTCCAATAGGTTTAGATACCCCTAAGTTTTTTTTACAGAAATATTATACTGTATGTGCAAAAATGTGCCGTATTGTATTCATTATCAAAACATATTTTATCACACTTCTGTAATATAATACGTACACTGCTACAAGTTAATAAAACAAATATTGTATGTATCTCATCAATTTTATGAATAACAATTTCTCAAAATACTAAAAAATAGTAGAATAATGAGCAGTGAAAATGTTTCTAGAAATCACAGTAATTTTGTGCAATTTCATTTCCCTGAAAATTGGTCTCATAAGTTCACAGTTACTGAATTTGACCTATGACCTATCTTATAACCCTACATACATGTAATGAACACCATGTGACACAGATTTGCATATTTGTAGGTTCGTAATGATTACCTGGCCAGCACTGCTGAAAATATAGACCAGGACATTGCCATACAGCTGGGGTGCTTGGAAATCAGGAGGTTTTTCAAAGATATGCCACAAATGGCATTGGACAAAAAAGCCAACTTTGAATACTTAGAGTAAGTACATGTATTTGTGTTAATATCACATTCATTCATGACATGGCGCCCTCATACAACCTGGTACATGCACAACTCCTAAGGGTCATAAATGTACATCCATGGGCATGATCTGTTTACCTCATTTTTTTATTGTGAATTTATGCAACTGAATTTGCTTCTTTGTTATAGGAACCTAAACACAAAGTTGTTGTCTAAACCAATCAACATCATTTTTGTGTCTGCTTTACTGCTTAAAGTACATTGTGCTTTAAAACTATCTCTGTAATAAATAGTGAATGAAGTAATGAATTCAGAATAAATAATGATTCCTTTTTTTTTTTTTTCCATTACAGGAAAGAGATTGGGTTGAAAAGGTTCTTTCCTAGGTCTGCGCTAGAAAGCGTCAAGGTACATTGATTTCTACCTCTGTAGTACTCAACTACAAACCATTTTTCAGGTTCATGTATTGTGAGTGAGAAAGTACTGATTCAGAAGTGAATTTTTAAAAACATTTATTTCCAGTTAGAATTGCATAAATTGAGAAATGTTCACGGGGATGAATTTTGAGTCATTGGCCCACCATTTTGTAAAAAAAAAAAGTTGTTGAATTCTTTCTAACACATATCTGAACTTGCTCCAAGGTTCAAGTTTCCCCTTACAATGTATATGAGGGTGAATTACGTCGCCAACATTGAACATGTCCCAGGGTATTGTTTTCATGTTTGAACAGGTGTTACAGCGCATGATGTCAAATAGAAACCTGTCGATTGAATGCGCATTGTAAAGTTGTCTGAATAAAGACTCTAACACTTCATAGTTGTGCTTTCCCACTGTACATTCTAGAATTCTTTCTCCACAGCCGAAGAATTTGCGGAAACTCATTCTACATTATTTCAAGCAGTACAGTGGTCTTAATGAGGAGCACTGCGTCTACCAGTTCTTTCAATTATTAGCAACAGTATCAATGTTCGATCAAGAGAAATTCAAATGTGCCTTAGGGGTGAGTGAGTTTTCCATTCATTTATGAACGGTACAGTGACTTCTTGGAAGCCATTATGCATAGCGCCCCCTTGTGGCAGCTCTTGGTGACCTGATATTGTTTATACTAATTTGGACTTTGGACCATTTTGGGTTAATGTACTTGTAATAGTGCATATACATTAATTTTATAACATGTTTTATAACAAAGGATGCAAGTTGGATAATAAATGTTACAAAATTACACAATTTTGACAGAAAATTCATTCATTATTTTTTCCCAAAATAATTCATTTAATCTTTTCTCAATTTAGTAATTTTACAATTCCATATTACAATTATGAACATGAACACTTATACAGTCAAACCTGTGCATAATGACTTTATAGACAGGTGGTCTTTATATAGAATTAGATTATAATTTTATGCATATTCAGCTCGTATGTTCCACATAATATTTATCCAGGAAAAAATGAGATGGTGCTGTTGTTACCAAATGACAATATCTAAAATCAAATTAATTCTAAACATTTATTTTAGTCTCTGAACAAAGACGAATCATCAAAAATATTGCTGAAAGGGTGATCTCTTCCACAAGACGGATGGTTTTTATACATAGGTTGTTCATGCGTGTATATTATGCCTGAAAGTGGTCACTATAGGCAGGTGTTCTTTATATAGAGGTGGTCACTATAAGCAGCTGTTCTTTATACAGAGGTGGTCACTATAGGCAGGTGGTCATTATACAGAGGTGGTCACTATAGGCAGGTGTTCTTTATACAGAGGTGGTCATTATACAGAGGTGGTCACTATAGGCAGGTGGTCATTATAGAGGTGGTCACTATAGGCAGGTGGACACTATAGGCAGGTGGATGTTATACAGAGGTGGTCACTATAGGCAGGTGGTCATTATACAGAGGTGGTCACTATAGGCAGGTGGTTGTTATACAGAGGTGGTCGTTATATAGAGGTGGTCACTATGCCAGGTTTGATTGTAATGTAATATAATAATACCCATGATGCATCATGTTTGTTTTCAGACTGGTTGGAGCATATCAGTGGACCTTGTAGTGAGTCCAAGAGACGGTATTAGTTGTCTTACAGATAAGGCAGCCTCTGTAAGTAGCAATATTTAATACATAGCTGTGTGGTTTGGTTTATTGGGAATATCTTTTTCTGTCATTATTATCTCTTATATCTTAAATTCAAAATTGGCCAAGGCTTGGAAATTTGTATACAGTAATCCGGAACATAAAAATCTGGGTCGCTTCCTAATTACACTTGACAGTTTTTCTTTGTTTTTATGGAGATGATATCTGCGCATTTGTTTTGGCATGTGACAGACAAGTATTGTGAAAACAGAAAATCAACAATGACAAGAGAGATTCGTTAAATCAATATTTCGCTATTACGTCATTTTACTACAATTCTCTAAAATTGCATGCCGCTTTTTCAACATGTTTTACAGTATTCTCTCTAATTTATTCAAAACAGTTGGTCATAATTTTTTTTTTCATTGAAAAACTTGATGTTGCCCCATGTTGTAGCATTTACAAGAAAAATAAATTCTATTGTTAACCTATGGAATTAGTATTTTCTGTTCCCGTGAGATCTCAGGTTATGCGTGAACTCTAATATAAAAACATGACAAAGGTCACAGCATCGTACTGACGTCAAAACATTACTCAAAACTGTTTTTTTTTTATATTTCCGCACTTAGTAGTATGCTATACACTTTTGATAATGGTTAGTTTTGATTTGATGAAATAAAGATATCTCAATGTCATAATCCTCTCTAAAAGGTAGAAATATCCAAATTTAACTATAAAAACAAGAAGTTCAAGATAAAAATCAAATCATCTAGTTTTTGAACAGACATTCAAAGCAATTCTTTCACGTATTACGCAGTGATGAGCTCCTCTGAAGTTTTGTTTCTATTGTAATGATAATGTACGTACATGTATGCTCGTACATAAAGTGGGCCTTACAGTTAAAGTAGTTACAAGATGGGAAATAAAAATTAAATTCTCCTTAAATTTACTTTTCAGCCAACTCACATGGCGGACTTCAGCCAGGTTGTTTCTGTGCAAGTCACATCCACTGAAAACGAAAGAAAGGGAATCTTACAGTTAAAAATTGCAGGTGCTAATGAGGTAAGGTCACAGGTCATACTATATAAAGCATTTTGAGGTCGTAGGTCATGCTATATTAAGCATGTTGAGGTCGGGTTACTTAAGGTCGTAGTTCATACTCTTCAGAAGGATACTGTGAGGGCACAAGTCATAATACTTGTGCTGCTGAGGTGAGAGGTCATACTATTGGGCATGATATGCATGATATCGACATGGTCCCAATATATAAGGTTTTCTGGTAAGGTGGTGGTCATGATATCATGATGTATAGTGTCGCTGCATGCATGTGTTGGTAAACATCGATTTTTCTACAGTCCAATGCAGTCCCCTAATGTCAAATACAAATACAAGTTTTGACCTTGGCAATATGTGCACAAACGTGGTTTGTTGACCTTATCTCTTAAACTTGATGTAAAATATTTATAAAAAAGATGCGAGAGATTGTTATACTGTTTTACAATTAATGTGGTATTTAAGATTAATTTGTTTGTTTGAGGATAGTGATGTCTTAATTCCATATTTGGCATCTTGGGTAGGTCGTAGGTCAAAACCCACAATGCACGCTGGTTTTACACCAATATTCCTGATGATTCAGCAGTACCCTAAGAACAATGTCAAATCCAGGGAATCTGGATTTGTTTCTTCCACCATCCCACAATAATATCGTTAATTTGTTTTTATTCTGATGATCAACGTAGATATAATTACTTAGACCTAAACTATGTTGCCAGCAGTGTGTGGCCGATATATTTTCCCACTAATATCACCCTTGCACAGCGCCCTCTGTTGATTCAAACTTACAAAATTGTGCGCAGTGGGGCGTGCATACTGATTACTTCCATGGACGTGTGAGGTGCACATCTTATTTGTTCATACTTGTCGTTGTTATGATGTCATCATCATGTGATATCAATACATGACCCAAGAGTGAATGGTGGCACTTACGTCTGGAGCGAAGGTCATATTTGGGATGTTTGTGTTTGCTTATCTTTTTCTCGTAAACTACCGTATTGCTAAGCAGTCGTTGATATTCGAGACAACATTTTTTTTCTGAACTTTCCAGCAATTTCACAAAGATTTTGTTTTAAAAAAGATCATCGAGACATTAACTCAAAAATCCAAGTGAAATTTTCAGCATTCACAATTTTCTTAAACATGCAAAGTTTGTGAAAATTTAATTTTCATGAAAATTAGTTTCGCAAGAGGCAAATTTTGACTGGTAAAATTGAAAATTTTTGTGGTTACTGTGGTGAATACTACTATAAATAAATAAATGTTGTTCTGATACATGTCATTATGTGAAATTCCTTTCATCAGAACTTCAGTGATTTACTGTGGTTTTGAAAATTTGCTTTCACAACTATAAAGTTAGTTGTTTATTTATCCTATTACACCAGTTGAACTTTTCGACCTTTGACCCCAAAGTCAACTTTTGTTACGTGTCACAAAATAAATCAGCTTAATTTTTTCCATATTTTCACAAAATTGTTGATTAAGTCCTGTATATTGTGTTCCTTTACTTCAAAATTACTAAAAAAAAAAGAAACAAGAAAACTTAATGCAAAATGTTGCACTGACATTTTTCTGGGTGATTTCCAAATGGCACTGTCAACCAATCAAAAAATGGTTTGTTGTCATGTAATAATTCATTAAATAAATGGATGTAATTACTGCATGTATTAAAATGAAAATTACTGTAAAATAATTTATTTTCGCTTAGATTTTTTTATTTTTGCTATTTTCCCTGAAGGAATTATTCAGTAAAAATAAAATCCAGCGAATATACTTTTTTTCTTATATTTTACATTCAACTCTTCAAAAATCAGTGAAAATAAATTCCATACAAAACATCCCAAATGTCTTTTCAGCGAAAATTAATTTCAAAAATTAATTTATTAAAATTTGATATATTGGTCCATTTTTTGTCATTGATATGTCGGACATTATGGCACTCTGTTTTGCATGACCCTTGCCCCTTATTTTGCCTCCCTGCATTGCATGTAACAAGATAGTATTCGTCAATATGATACCATTTCCTGTTAATATGAATCCTGAATCACACCGTATTAGTCACAGTTTATTATTTATCTTATGACGAGCATCTCCTGCATGCCGCTGTTGTCAGTCACACATATTTCAAAAGTATTGTTTCTAACTCCAGACCCAAAATGTTGTTTTAGTTTCCGTGCAACTGCTGTCAACATAAACGAACATGCTCAAATTGTGTACAAGTAAGTACTGCTTGCTTTAGAGCTGCTCAATGTGTTTACTTTCTTTTTTTTTTTTTTTTTAATAATCTTGTGCGTTTTACTCATATTTATTTGCCATTACTCATCTGTTTTTTATTTTTCATAACGATAAACGGTGTGCATTATTGTTTTGTTCAGTTATTAGCTCGCTGACTGCCAAGCTACTTACAACATACAGAAACTGTAAGAAGGTTATTTGGTCACATGTATGCGAATTAGCAAAATGATGCATAAGTATTTTGGTAGTAAAAAATATTTAGCAGACTTTGCTGAATTTAACCACTTTCCTCAAAACCATTTCATGGTTAAAGAATGCTAGATTGTCTTAACCAGATTTGGTTCTTTTGATCTGAACTGATAGTGAAAATAGATTTAGGATTATTTGATTTTTGTTAACAAAATAGACATATTGTAAAATATGTCTTGATTCTATGTCAGTCAGTGATACTAATCCCAGGTGAGCTATTTGGCCATGGATGCCAACTTAATACACTTGTGTGTGGTGGGAATAATAATATTAAAATTACTGACAGCATGTTGTCTGTTTCACATCTTGTTCTCTTTACCATTACATGTAGAACATGTATTCTATATGTAAGACATATTAACTCCTCGTTACTAAGTGTCACATGGCACAGCTGGGGTCCTGTCTTCAAACTGAGTCGTGTCTGGAAATACACAATACGTCTAAACGTATGGCTTTCAGGGTTGTGAGGAAAAGATAGTTCATTTAAATGTCATTATATTTAGTGGATAACCACATCATTGAAATTATTATACACTCAATGTAACCGTCTTTCATTAGCATTTTTGGACACTCCTGTCAAATTTTTTTTTTCAAATATTTGTTTATGACAACACTAAGAAATTAGGCGTGTTTAGTCCTACGTGTTAAAAATGTTGGCATCCGTTGATGGTTGTCGTATTGAAGTTTCAATTAAGTTTTCTTGTAGTATTATTTTCCTGTGGTAAGCAGAGATCAACAAAATAACCCTTTTTATTTTTTTACGTGACAAAGACCGGTAATAATTGAGGGTTTTAGATGGATTTTGAAGAATGATCAATCTTTTTTATTTGATGGGGTAGATTGTATTGTATTCTATACTGGGATTGGTTGTATTATTAGTATGTTAACATTTTCACCACCAGACTTTCTCGCTCAAATGTTTCTGCACTTTTTTCTTATATTCTTCAATATTTCTTGAAATGAACCCTAATTTTGGAGCCAATAGACAAAATTTGAGTCAATTTTGAGTTTTATTATTCAAAATTTTGGCTATTTTTTTCCCATTCTAATGAAGGAAAGTGCGGGCTATATATAAACAGGTATATTATGAAGATTTAGATTATTGATGACACTTATAAATATTAATGCAACTGTTCACACCAATTACACATGATGTTGATACCAGTTCTTATAGATTTGTCAAAAAATGTTTTTATAAAGAAATGGTAAAATTGAATAATTCTTATAAATTAGTTTTCTTTTTGTATACAGAAACAGTGATGAGCATTTAATATAAACACATTGTAGTCTACTGCACCTAATACAGCACTGATAATTTGTTAATGGGTTAGGATCTTCTTTGCATGTATGTTCAAATTCTATGAATAAACCAAAAAAATGAAATAGTGCAAAACAAATGGATTTTCCACAGATAATCTTTCATCAGTTTTTGTATGTAAATGTTGCAAATGTGGTTAATAAAGTTTTCCATATACCGTATATGCATATTAATTAGGTCATTTGCATATCATTAACCTTTTGAGCACCAAAGTCAATTTTTGTCATGATTCATGAAATAGTTCTATATACTGTCTGTGCATATTAATTAGGTGATTTGCATATCATTAACCATTTGAGCGCAAAAGTCAACTTTTGTCACGATTCATGAAATAATTCTGTATACCGTCTGTGTATATTAATTAGGTAATTTGCATATCATTAGCCTTTTGAGCACCAAAGTCAAATTTTTCCACATTTTTACCAAAATTTTTATCTACACTTGTAGCTAATTTTCTCCATTTGGTCAAAATTTTAAAAGAAATTGTATAAAAATATGAAAAAATCATATGTAATAGTGCACTCATCTTTTCAAAATGTTTTAACTGTGTTTAAAAATGATGGTGACAATGAGGTACATAAGGTAACTTTATTGATGGTTTGAAGGAGTATGTGTTGCTATTACCAGAGGTACATTACTTGGGGTTTGCAACACGCATAGTACTGTATGGTGACATCATGCCAAGATTCCATTCAAGTCTCATCTCATAGATAGCGAGACTGATTCTACGACCTTCTGACCTGATATAGGCAGTTTGTAACAAAACAATAAAACATGTATTACCACATTTATAGGGAAAAAATGTAATACATCGAAAATGTACAGAAAATATAGTTATCGTAATCCGTCATATTGTGAGCAGCTATTTTGATTCCCAGTATCCTAGTTACCTCGGGCATGTGCATTCACATTTTTCTGAGTTGGAACGCTTATGCGAGAGCAAGATCGTGACGGGATCTTGGTATCATGTCACCGTAGTTGCAAACCCCCAGTAATGTACCTGTGCTATTACCAAGTAACTTTTGATTAATGTACATTTTTTTTAAATTTTTTTTTCTTTCATGAAATTTTTACTAATGAATAATGAAAGCTCAATATCAAAGATATGGTTTTCAAGACGTTCTGCATGTTACTTTAAAAAATAAATAAATTCTAGTTTCCTAGAATTAATTGTATTACTTATTCACATGTATTATTTTAACTTTTCTCCGCAGGCTGTGTATATTACTGTGCCCTCTGTCAACACTGCGGAGGACATGGCAGATATCATTGATGGTTATTGTCGGCTGACGTTGGATTCCAAACAGTCATTTATGATAAAGCCTCATCAAGGTGAGATTTTGTGGAATTATGAAGTGTTCAGTTTATCATTTCAAGCACATTGCTGTAACTTTCACTAGCATTTTATTAACTACACGGCATCATTCTATGCATTATTGGGTTCTCATTGTGGTGATGGGTTTAGTCTGATGGTGGTGGGTGTGAGAGGTGTATTGGTACATGTATGGGTGTCATTGGGGGTTAGTGTGATCGTGGT